TGTGCATTCTTAAGAGTATACGCATGTGCATTCATCTTCCTTTCCCCTTTAAACCCTTCCAGTGGACAAAATATCTAGCTTTACTTCGGACCCGGTTGAAACACGCTTGTTAAGTTAATGGGTTATTAGTTGATTCGTTTATTAGGCTATTGGTTTTTTAGTTAAATAATAAATTTTCTGTCCTTTCCTCATCTTCGTCAAGGCCTCATCCTTCATAAACTGCTCTCTAATCCATCCACCTCCCTTCGGAGTGACATCGACGCTGAATGGCAGGAAGAAAATGGAGCAAACATGACTGGGAGAAGCAGTTTTGCAATCGCAAACAATCGTCTAGAGGAGAAGAAGAAGAGAATGAATAGCGATGAAAAGCAGCAAGGAAGATTAAGACAAATCGTAGCTTAAGTCACCAGAAATGGGGGAAATTGGAGCCGTTATCAACAGTCACACCCGACCAGAAACATATAGCTAATTAGCTATCTATATGGGTAGTACAATTTCCTATATGTGTGGAATCGTGTTAAGGCGTAATTCTTGGATCCGATTTCCTACGTAGCACTAAAGCAGTCCTGAAATTTGCGGAAGTCAACTTTTCCATCCACCGAGAAGCAAATGTTGACATTTCCCAATCAAGAGTATTTACCATTTGCTTTACTGTTTCAAACTCAAGTAGACCGCTTGGGGCATGACGTGGTGGTGTTGTTTATCGTCAAGACGAAAAGAACGAGCATTACTTATAAGTGACTTAGGGCTCCTGCATGAAAGTCAAAACATTAGGTGCACGTCAAAGTCTTAAAAGGGAAAGTATAGAACGCTTTGTTGTTGACGCTGTGGCACCCGTCATAAGTGGCGGTAAGCCTCTATTAAGTTCTTCCGTAAATGCAGAATTAGATGATTTGATTATTGAATTCGCATTGCATGTTGCCACTTTCATCTCCTTTATCAGGGATCAGCCACCGCTCTATTCCGCTTCGGTTCAATCGGACATCCAGCTCATGATCTGTACGGGTGTATGCCCATCAGTCCCGAATCCATCACCTCTCAACGCCGCTCTCCTTAGCAACCCCTTCCACCGCATCCTGTCCGTTACTCTCCCTCATAGCTACCCATGTAATTATCCCATCCTTCCCGTAATGGCGCACCGCCTTTTCTGTTTAGTGTAATTCATCTGCTTCGCCTCTTGCTTCTTGCAGATCAGTTCCTCTGTGTTATTGCCATCTTCCCACAACTCCTCCTCTTTTGACTCCTACAGAACCTAAATTCCACCCTAAAATCAGCAATGGTCAAGCTAGATGTGGATGTTGTGGTGTGATGGGCACCGCAGACGCCGATAATTACAACTGCCTCTATGTGCCACTTTTAACGTAATTATTGGTTGCGCTTTCAATTTATCTGCTTCTAACAAGGTGACGTTACCTTTTGAAAGTACTTCCAATCTTTACTTTGATACTTTTCTCTGTAGATAAAGAGAGGTTTTTGTAGTTTTAGAACAGTGTGCTTGTTGTTCAGCACGTGCTCATTAACCTCTCTTCACCTTGTACAATTATCCAAACGATTGCTCAAATCCAAACCTCTCTTGGACCTCTGTAGCAATGATGTGAATGCACCACCATGGCGAGCATTCATATTTTTCGTATAATGTTATTTGATCAATCAGCAGTCGTGATAAACCGAGGTAAGCTTCCCCTAACTCGACGCGTCAGGTTTCTGCTGAGGGGCAAACTGATGTTTGTACAAACAGAAATAAATTGCAAGCAAATTGTTATATATATATTTTTCGTTTTGGGCTGACTTCAGAATGATTTAGGAAGTGGTTCTGTTCTTTTCACCTAAAATTGCCTGGCGCATGAAGTGCTTGGCATCGCACACTTCTTTATGCGCGAATGCAATGCAAGGTGTGAAGATCAAGAGAAAAATACCTAGGGCAGGCCAGTTTCGTGATCCTTCTGAGGCAAATGATAATGCTGCTTTAAATTAGAACACGGGGAACTGTAGCAATCAGCATGGCTATCTCCATGACATCTTAGCCATTTTGACACTTGACTACGTCGAATCCACCATGTCAAATGCGGATTGACTCCTGTCGATCGCCAATTTCCAGTGTATATGTTTGGTATTTCCCTCGCAAGGTACACTCCTTGTAAATCGAATCCCCTCATAAAATGCTGCATTTTACTGACATTTAAGCTTCTCAGTAGGTTAGCCACAGTCAAATGTGCATTAGCGAAAATTATATGACAATAGAGATGCACTTACGCTGATACCTATTTGACAATTGATAAATTCCTCAGTTTTACTCCTGTTAAACTGAAGGTTTATCAATGAGTCAACCACAATGCCGAGATGATGGCAATTAATTAACGTCTTATTTTACACCAGCACTGACTTAGCAATTCCTACCGGTCGATCTGTATGCAACAACTATGAAGGAACGAATGAATGAGTGAATGCATGCCAGATGCCATTCACACTTCTTATGAACATTTGCCAAAAAGTAAGGCCATCCAGTGAAATAGAGGATTGTAATTCACCTCATATGGTTTGACATCTGCTCTCTACGTCCCCCATGTATTTAACATCAATTGTTTTACCTTGCCTATGAGGCCTTACCAAATTGCTATAAATATAAGCCAGACATCAATTTTTTCTAGTGAATATCACGTACGCTTACACGAATACGGTTGCAGATCCATGGTGGTCGTTTTCAAGTCGATCAATTCTGATGTCACCTACATGGTCAATTGCTGCGCTGAAGGGCAGCGGATTATGATGTTCATCAACGGAAAGCGCAGCCTCAGTATCGCTTCTTCTGTGTTGTACCTATCTCCAACACCCACCAATCGACGAGATATGGAGAGCTATGCTTTTGGCAAGACCAAGTGATCAATGGTTTCATTGCACAGCAGGAAGGTGACATGAGTCCTACCTGTACAGGAGTCGAGAAACAATAAAGGTGGGAGAAGCTGAGATTTTCTTTAGCCCAAGCGCTCTCACGATTACTACCGTAGATTGCGGAATGAGGTAGGACAGCAATAAGTATACTTTCTCTGTATGGTAATCTTAATTGCACAAATGTATGATCAATTCTCAGAATTTATAACAATTTTGCATACTGCACTCATTAAAGGTAACTGCCATATTCTTCACTGTGTTTGTGGAAACGAATTGTAGTGCGCGGAATTAAACATTTCTGTCTCGGTTAGGGATCACATTCACAGGGAATTTAAAGAACCCAAATGGCTAGTGGGCATTGAATTTTATCACATCTGTCATGAACGAAGTGGGTTTGGCTAATGTTACGAAAAGAGCCGTCAGTGATGCAGTGGCCAATGTCAATTTGGGGACCAATTCATCCAACATTACATATTTGTAGGCATATCCAATCTATAAAACGGAAAGCAAAATTGTTCTGCTCAAAAGCAAATAGCAAGTTTACGTTGCTTTTTTTGCAATCTTAATGAAATTAGCTTGGCTTGCTCAGCATAATCGGAATGGGCTGCCAGTTATTATAAGTGCCATCTCAGTTACACTCTTATTTCTTCCCAAAAAAACGGATTTAATTTGCTAGATTGCAAATGGCATGTCCGCGTTGACTTCGTCAACATTGACGGCATGGGCTGTCAATTATTCGAAGACTCATCTCACGTGCGTGTTCAATTCTACCAATTGGGAATGAGTTTCGCCAAGTCTAGTCAACTTTACCGAATACACAAGTCATTTAATCAAAAGGCAAATGGCAAGTCCACTTTAAAATCGTTAATATTTCTACTACATTATTTAAGCTCAGCTTAAGCATGTCGCACATGACGTTTGTGTTTTGTGCTTGCGTGTGGCTTTGAACTGCTCCCCTTTGTTTTACTGCTGAAATAAAATCAGCAACCATGCTGAATCAGCTGTCAGCCAAAAAATTTTGTGGAAAGAGTGTAAGAATTTTAGCACAATTTATACGGATGTTCCACAGCCCAAATAAAATACTCTAAAAACCTTTAAATGCTAACTCACAACCTTTACAAATGCCCTGCCAAATAGAGATATTTGTCAACCTTGGCGAGGACAAGGACAAGATTTTGCTGCTCACTAGTGCTTTCTGCTTCTTCATACTCCCCTATTACTTCTATGCATTACTCGAGACTTTTCCAGTGCAAGAGTTACCAGCCTGAATATAGCCTTGACGACATTCCGTAGGTAAAATAAGGGCACAACCTATTTCATTTGAAGGGTATTTGGCGTCAAATATACACTTTGGTTAATAAATAATGAAAATGTGCGTATTTTTCTTTTAAACTTATTTCAATTGCTTAATTTGATTGTTATTTGTTTTTCGAAGCTTATTACAAATTTGTTTTACATTAAGCATTGTGCAAAGACAGCATTCCACAAAATTTATGGGCAAAATATACTACCATAATCAGTGCCTAGAATACTTTAGTAGAATTAGAATATCCAAAACTAGCTAATAAATAACTTTGCTTTTATATTAGCACATTACCGAATCATTCCAAGGACCTTTGCATTGGGTCAAACGATCTTCATTATCCATCCCCATTTGACTACTTACCCTATAACTCCTCCTTGTACTTCTTAACGTGGGTGGGAGTCTCTGGTTAGATATTGATACGCAGGTAAAGCGCTGCCAGTTGTGATCATCCCAGCTGGAGTACACAACTGTCACATCGGCATCCCTAAGCAGTCTTTACTGTTGTCAGTGAAACTATTAGCCATCGGTCCCGCGACAGATTAGGTGGAGGTGGATGAGGTGGGCAACGCGGTTGAGGAAGAGCAGGAAGTCGAGTTGCATGTGAATATGGATTTAAAGACAGAGCCAAGGAGAAAAATGCCAAACACTGCCTCTTAAAATGCCCTGGTGAGTGACTCGTATAGAGCAATTATCTAAATCAAGGCGTCTAATATATTCCTTCACTCACCTTGAACAGCTGGTGAGGAATTCTAATAAAACCTGTATGTACTAATAAGCCTATGATTACTCAGCGCTTAAAAGTTATAGGACTTTTTTGACGCAATAAAATCTCTTTCCCTAGAGAGGGGGTTAACGAGAAAAGTGCACAACTTTGCGGAATTCAAGCTGGTCTGTTTGAATGTGTACCTTCTACTTAAGCCTTAGCAGTAGTAATGAAGCAATCAAATTTAAGCAATGCTCACCAGAAATGCTCACCGCCAGAGGCAATCAGAGGAGCAGGAAAAAGAGGGGTGTCACTTTTGGCATGCTAATTTGCTAATTAATGATTTACAAATGAGCTAAAACTAATAATAATGCAGCTAACCTACACATGCATACCGAGGGAACCATCTACCAAGTATTTAGACAGAGGTCGAAGTGCGTAGAATGGTGGCAGTGAGTCACGTGATGCTATCACGCTAGAATCGGATGGCTGTTGGCAGAGGCAAAGAAGGCAAATTACGGACCAAAGCGAAGACGAGGTCAGCGCGAGCTGGTCTGCAGTTCCTCGTGGGTCGTGTGCACCGTCTGTTGCGTCGTGTCAACTATGCGGAGCGCATGGGTGGGTGCTGGAGCACTGGTCTACCTGGCTACTGTCTCGAGTACCTGGCTGCCTAGGTGCTGGAGTTGGCGGGTAACGCAGCACTCGACAACAAGAAGACGCGTATTATTCCTCGTCACCTGCAGTTGGCTATCCACAATGGCGAAGAGTTGAACAAGCTGTTGGGCGGTGTGACTATCGCGCAGGGTGGCGTGCTGCCCAACATCCAGGCAGTGCTGCTGCCGAAGAAGACGGAGAAGCTCGTGTTCAGCAAGGAGTAGGCTGGCCTGCCTGCCGAGCGCTTGACTGCCTGACTGACTGACCGGCTAAAAGTTGCGTGTTGGTGGTCAGCGTTACAGCCTTAGGTGTAGGGGCTGCAGAGTTGAGCTGTGGTGTGATTGAGGTTTGGGTGGGATGTGGTGCTCTCTTAAAATGTAATCTTTTAGGTGCCAAATTTTAAGCCTTCATCGGTTGAGCAGTCTCGTCTGCGACCTGTCACACCAAAGTGGCTGCAGTGGCGTAGACTATTATGTTTTCTGTGGGATAAGCATTGCGTTCAGCCGCTTAGTGTCAGAAACATCAAAATTCCTCAAGGGTCAGTCGATCAGTAATTATCCTAAAGTTACCTGTGGAACGGATTAAATATTGGCTCTTCGGTTACATCAAAACTGCTCATGTCAGCTGAATGAGAGAAATTTTCTGACTTTATCTCAATGCCTGTATCAAATCGACATTCGCTAAAATGCCACAGCTACCAGTATGAACATCTACAGGCGAATTAAAGCTCAATCACACAAATTTGGTTTCATCACTTGAGGACATTTAAACTGTTCCGACCGAATTAGAGGTAATAACTGAGGCTCTTCAATAGTTACTTCACAAAACCATAGAACTGAGAGAAGAAAAATTTGATCGCAGACTTTTATGTACAAGTATGACAAATATGTTGAATAACTTAGCGAACTATCCAGCAGTGGTGTGATGTAACTCACTGCGCCTCGTTTGGGCCTCATGAGCATTAATAAACTCGAAAATGCGAATTACCTGTTAGTGGACCAATCAAATGTAAAGGCATGCTTAGTAGATAGCTCTTCTTAGGACTTTCTTTACTTTGGTTTAGTTAACCAGAAGATGCTGCCGCTAATGTAAAAGGCGAACGAAAGAATGAATACCAACCTCGATGATTAAAAAATTAAAAGTTTCGAGTCCTGCGAAGGAGAAACCTGACTTCAATGCATTCCATTAATCCTTTCTGAGTTTAAAGAAGCTAATATGATTTAACAAACTAGGAGTTTCAGGAGTGCTAATTAATTTAGCGAAGCACTGATAGTAGGGACGAGTTAATCCTGAATGTGTTTTCAGGCTCATAAATGCTGGAAAACGTGGGTTCATACTTTATTTTAATCTTATGACCTCGTTTATGCATCACAAGCAATAAAGTTGCTTTGATGCAAGAGAGGAGTGTTTATTATCCAGTCGGTGGTGTAGTGATTTATCCAGTTAAGAAGATGTACATAGCTCCTTAAATGCTGCTTTTGGAGTAAAATAGAGGTAGATCACCTCTTTCACCGTTATTTAAGTGATACTTCTAGGTGGGCGAATTCCTGCGTTCCCATTAAATCAGTAGACTTGGGTTCGATTAACATTATTAGGTAGCTCCGTTAGTAGATATGAGATCCTACCTGTTAAAGAGGCTCGATTTCTATAAGACATTAAATAAAATGTGCATTTATGTATACGTAGGAACAGATGTTATTCCTCATTTCGGCATTCTTCAAATGACCTTTTAAGAAGGCTGAATAAAAGATGATAACAATGTACAAATAAGCGGAAGTAGAGGTAATGCACTACTTACAACAAACGTGGAGTGGGCACATACACAAGTCAAAAATAATGAAAAATTATCCTAAATTTAACAAATTTTAGTACCACCTTTTAGGGCAATTCATAGCGTTTTGAGCTGCAGTCAGACCAGATTGTGAACAATAAAATAGTCTCAATTTATTCGTTCGACAGCTAGTATAAGTGGCCTCACACCAGAGTGTGGCAAAAATGCTTTGAGTGAAGATATTATAGCATTCTAGG